GTTACTTAAGGTTTTTTCAATAAATATCAAACAAGTTATGTAACTAATCACGAGATCAAAAGTTTGTCAAATGTTTGAATCATTTACCCAACCTAATACATGCTAGCACTAGCCATAAACAGTTTTAAAATGTTTACCTCCAATATGATCTATCATTCTATCGATTTGGCAACGTTGCTTTTAATTTTCAACTTTATTTATGTTTTGAAATACAATTGAAAATCATTACAAATTTTGATTCCAGAAGAAAACACATAAACGCATTACTGTTGTGGCTAGTTGCGGATACACTGTGTCATAAGTCATTAGTACTAACCGAAACGCGAGCACAGCCTCTTCGTTTCACTCAAGTCGAGTACAGCGAGAGTCGGCTTTTGGATGGTCCTAAAGACCTATGACTTTTGATTTATCTTTCTCTCTGTGTTTGACTTACTTTGCCTTAACGCGCGTACAAAACATGAAAACAAATTTAACAACCGTATTATTCTGCAACAGCATGTTTATAACGCCTCTAGCACACTAGCGTGACAGCGATCCGGTGCCATGGTGTAATGTACCGCGAGGAATTCTCATAGATGTTCGATTAGGTTTCATTCTGTAAATCTGGCTGATATATGGTTCGCTAAAATACACCAAACCCACGACTGGTTTTACATCAAAATTGTATACGCTTCACGAAAGTGTGCTATAAAGATTGAAATCACAGCGAAACTGTTTAGCGGTTCATTCGACATAAAAGCGAAGCACACAATCTTATATTGATAACTTAAATGACGAAGACTTAGCCTAGATATTCGCAATAATCTAATTCTAAAGATAACATTAATGTTTTAATAGTTCAGAGAATCCTAGATTCAATAGAGGATGAGATAAAAACTTAATAATGTTCTAAATAAATGCCATCAAAATGAAATGTTCACTTCATTGAATTTTAATAGGAATGATTAAATATCAGGTAAAAGAAATGTCCTCTAATTCCAAGTTTTGTTTTCTATTGCTAAGGTAGATTTTGACAGGGTATCAAAAAACCTCATGAAAAATACTTCACTGTACGGAATTTGTAATAAGAAATCAACAGCATTATTGATTTATTACCATTTTTTGTTGTTGAGTGCTATTACCTGATATTAAATCAAACATTAAGATACTATAGTTTGTCTAAATAAGATAGATTAGTTTGATAAATGACGCATATAAAGTATGGAATAACCTTTGCATGAAGGCAAGTTCCGTACTTAATAGACAGGTATCGTAGTGACAAAACAAACACGCATAGCAAACAATTATGAACTATCGATATTCGGTTTAAATAAATTTTATCGAACTTAAGTATATTTTCTTATTAACTAAATTAGCGGACAATTCTAGCGTTGTTATAAGTGTAGAGAATTTAGCGATGACGGTAATAAAAGCGAAATCCAATTCGATTACGTACCGGCTGTAGTAGTAATAAATATCTACGAGTATTTACTCTCCTTATTTGTAGTGGTTCTGGAGGTCATTATCAATTTGTCATAGTTTTTTTTTTAATTTACAAGTAATAACTATAAATCTGTCGATTTCAACTTCTATAAGAATATAAATAAAAAATCGAAAAGATTCATGCCTGATTTTACACAACCCATCACTACTAAATTGTCCAACGAATTGTCAAACTAATCTATCTCATTAAGACAAACTATAGACAAACTATAGACAAACTATAGACAAACTATAAATTAATATTTAAGTACTATTATAAATTATAATGAGGTATTTGTGTAGGTAAAAACATTTTTTCGTAAATCTGTAATATTTTGAAACAATTAAGTCAAATAATGTCAACAATCATTTTGTGCAAGAAGTAGAGAATGGAGAGAACTCGATTAAACGAACGCAGATTCAACTTCACTCGAAATGTAATACGAGAGCAAAGTACAGTTTGCCATATTGATCAACAGATCGAACTATCGAAGGGAACAATCTTAGGAGGAAAAGTAATTATTTGGTAGTAGTATTGCTAGTAATTATTCTGTTCAGTACGTCTCTAAAAACATTTTATTTGATTCTCGATAAACGTCATAAAGTCAACCAACCCGCACTTGGCCAGCGTGGTTGACTATGGCCTAGTCACCCCTTATTAGGGTAGGCTCCGAGCCCCTCGGTGGGGACGTATAGTGAGCTGGTGATGATGATGATGATGATAAACGTCACGCACAAAATGATTGATGAAATGTGTGACCTTTTATTTACCTAAATTATTAAGACATAGAAATATGAAAACTTTCGCTAATAACTATTTTACGTATTAATATTTAAAAATCTTAAGGTTACGTAATTCTTTGATAGGATTAAGATAATTTTAGAGTGAACGCAAAGGTTTTGATAATTATGGATTGTATTTTGGAGTGTTTTGTTTGAAAAACCTTTTGCAGGAAAAACTATTTTTACTTTCCCATGTGGGTTCTGCATATGAAATTTAATTGAAAATTGAACAGTGACAATTACTGAAATGTTTTTTTACTTCGTAAAATAATTGTTTCAATTTAAATACATTCGTATGACCTGCCTTAGTAGTTGGTAATCCGTAGACACCGGAACACACACTGTTACGATTAACGTAAGAAAACGTTAGATATAAATACATAATTAATGGTAAAGTTATGGCGTCTTTTAATTGTTAGATCAAAATCCTATCAAATTGAAGACAAAATACATGAGTATATGTTGGTACAACTACGTACATCGATATACTAAACATTAAGAAGTGATATTCAAAATTATCTTAATTCGCGAATTGAATATTTTTATTTGCAAAATAATATTTGCAAGCGGTTAATATTAGAGGAACAATAGGTACCTACGGCCAGGCGGGAATAATTTTGCTCCATCGCAGTGGAAAATGCATAGGGATATTTTCGTAGTACATTATAATAGAAACATCGAAAAATACATATTTGGTCTATTCGAAGTAAACACTACCTGGGGTAATATAAGCTCCTAAATTTTATAACCTAAAATATGAAAGATCACATCAAGTTAGGTAAATAGACATAGAAAAGGATGTATTTTATACACTTACAGCCAATGATAAAAATTTAATTAAAACTTAGTAAATATTTTGGAATATGATAACAGATTTAAAATAAAAAATTTCGTAAAATAGATCACAGTACAAACAATATTTAAAGATAACCTATTGTATAAAAATTTTAATAATATCTAAGGAAACTGCGTCGGTAGGGCAAATTGCATTTCATGCAGCTAAGGGTTCACACGTCACTTGGGTAGGAACGCCCAAATTGGTGCCACGCCACGATGGACTTCGTTGTGACATTAAACTCTTTAATACTGGGATTCCTTATTCATGACGCGACACGCTAGTATATCCCTACCCCTATTATACGTTGATGTACAGTAGTAGACAGCATCAACACTGCCTTTTACTTACAATACACTCATTGTACGTAATGCCATTACTTTGTTAATCTACGCAAATCAATAAGTAAGCAAATATAACAATAGTAATTCTAAGATAATAATCTACAAGCTACCACTTCGCGTACATACTTTCTACGTATACAATAGTTTGCAACATCAAACCTATTCCTACCGCTCTTCTTCCGAAAACGTTGGTCGACAAGGACCGAAATTAATAGGACTCACAAAACTGTCCAAAAAATAATTTTGATCGATTCTAAAATAAAATAACTCATAAATTTTAATGCTAAATAAATGCACAAATTATGTTCGAACGCAAAGATTTACTTTTAGTCACGTTTCTGTAACGAAAGTGTTATCTGTCCAGGCGCCCAGCCGCGGTTTCTTGGCACGTGCAAAAAACTAAGGAGAAATAAAAAAGAACCAGTTTACTATTGGATCGATACTTTAACAAATTCTGCAAAAGGATGATTGACAAATTCATCATTACTGACGAAACGATATATTGCGTTTTTTAAATCTTTAGTTATTTAACCGCGTTTCTGATGTTGGGCGCCTGACCCTTAACCGCAGTATAGCTAAGTAGGGTTTTCATTTAGGCGTATTCCCAGTGACGATAAATAAATTCAGTATAACCGGTATTAAACTTTTTCGACTTTAAAAACGTTGCAATCGCAATAATTAGTGTGCGTTTACACGCATTCGTATGGGAATACGCATTGGACCGATGCTGACTGATAGTTATGTACAAATTTCTGACAATTGTGTTGAGTTAAATGTTTTAAAAATGAGATAATATTACGTCAAACATCGGTCCATACTCATCTATATATACACGTCACCGAAAAATTGTAAACTTCGACAGTTTATAAAAAGATTCTTAAAGCAACAGCAACAATATACTATGTACAGTTAGTTCACGATTTATTGCAAATTAAAGTTGAAAGACTGAAAAGGTTATAGTATAAATTAATATAAATGATTTGTTTGGTTTACGAATTTTCACCAACCAGTTCCTGAAATGGGAAACTTATAATCGTTCGGTGACGTATGCATACACGGTGATGGTTAATTCTTATTCGACCTTAAATTTAAAGTATCTAACACCTTAATCTAATATGAACAAACTAAATAAATCGTATACGTATCATCAGTATGTATAATTATTTGGTTGGAATTTTGGTAGTTGCATATTTTCAGTACCCGTATTTCACGATAATTTCTTAACGATAACAGATAACTATTGAATCAATTAAAATAGGAACAACAGAGAAACCATATTACTTTAATTTAACTGTAATACGTCATTAAGTTGTAAGCCGGACAAATTAAGTTATAAGTGAAAAAAAATTGATAATGAGACGACCAAGTTGAATTTTCGTACCATTTTTGTAAATTTCCAAGTCAAATCTATTGTCATAATTTGAGATAATATTTGAATCATAAAGAAAAAAGGTAAAGATGCAAATATTTACATCACTTATATTATAATTATATTTGTGTCGTTAAAAACTACAATATATTTGATACTATAGAAATGGAGTATCGTAACGTATCAGGAATATGGCATTACATTAAATGTACATAATTTTATAAGAGTAAGCTATTTACAAAGTGCGAAATATCATAAAATCTAATGAGAAAGTGATATTGAGATTTTATCCTATGGCTGAATTGCTGAGCAAGAGTATATTACATAATAATTAAGAAATTCATCAAATCATTGTCCAAACATAAAAGGTTCAAAATATCAGATAGATCAATAAAATTAAACTGTTAAATAATATCAGTAAACCTTAACAAAATACAAGTCTATGTATGTCCAGTCGGGGGAAGAAGTAGAGAGGCATACACACAATATAATTAATGTAAAAAGAAAAAAAAAACACTGAAGAATGTCAATCGTACCGTATTCTACTGTACATTTAATCATACAAAATGGTTTCAAGTTCGCAACAAAATCATGTAAGCTAAACTTTTTTTGTTTTTTTTTAATTTTTTATTTTTTTATGTTTTTTTTAATTTTATCACGATAAATACTTGAAACCATTACTGAAGCTGTAAATCATAACGCATTACACTAATATATGAATTCAGACAATTTACCTAGAGATATCGAGAAATAGGCTTACCTAGAATAACGTTATTTACATTCGGCAAGCGAAATTGCCAGATAAAGTTTACGATAAACCTTAATTATTTATAGTACCCTCATGTTAGCAATGATAATTAACTTTACAATACAACAGTATCTTTCATCCAAACTTCATCACATAATAATACAAGTTATAAGTCAGTAAATTCGATAAGAATAAGTCATGTTTCGCCGAAACGTAGTTAGTTGTAATTTCATTGTATAAATTCAGTCTTTGTAAAACGTCAAGTCCGGATAGATTCGACGCTGATTTTGAATTACATAAATAAATTCATTAAGTTAAAGCGTTATTTTCGATTACAATTTTACAAATGAATAAGCAGTCGCACTGGTTTATTCACATGTGAAATTGATCCAAAACTCACCTGATATTAAGTGGTGAAGTCACCCAACTATTTACTACACTAGTTAAGCATTACGCTATTTACAATATAATACAATAACACGTATCTTCCTCCAGTGCAGGATGATTCCGCGAGTTTTCACTGCCGACACATGTGTACAAACACATTTTGCTACCTCTCTCGCCACCTTTCAAAACAGTGATAGCAACACGTGTTTATAAGGAGTGTCGTCAGTGGAAGCGCACAGCAAATGATAAAGTTGTTCAATTGTGATATAAAAGATAATTGACTTGAAAGAAAACATTCGTCGATGAATTTACATTGCATTCATTGGATTCTCGATGACGTTGACCGGAGTGGGGTCCACTGGCGAAAGTTGACGATTAAAGACAACATCAGCCATGCTAACCACGCGGCGCGGCCCTTGTGTACCAATTATTAAATCGACTTTGTCGATGTTTTTAGATTGCGAGACCCGCTTCCTGATCTGGGCGAGTGGTGAATCTTCCTTTGTCATCTCGTTTCGGAGGAATGCAGTGTCGAATTCCGCGGAGTAAGCTTTGGCCTTGATGATGGAGAGGAGTGCGGGCAGGCTGGGCTCGTCGATGAGGGAGAGCGGCCGCGCAAGTCGCTGCTGCACACGCGCACGTACCGCGCTCGCCAGGCTCTCCCGGGATGACGAGTCCTCGTCGTAAGCCATGTCAAAGCTCGATGATCCGCCCGCGTTGTCTGAAATATTTACTATAATTATTTTCGTATTGTCGTCTATCGTATTTACGGAGCGGTATTAGACAAGCAAGATATCTCGTTGCCAAAAATCGTCCGCTTTAATATGCATTTTCGTTACTAAATAAAAAAGTAAATACAAAGGGAAAATGACAAAATTTGTTACTTCTGCAGTGGATGATATTTAACGAAGGTTGGTAGTAAATGTAGAATAAAAATATAGCGTTTATTTTTCCATATTCAATTTGAAGCAGCGCTTCAGTGTATTGACCTCGTGGGATGGACGCCCTGGGAGAGGGTCCGGCATCCTCGTCGGTGCAGCCTTCGGAGAGAGTGTCCAGCGTGACGCGGCGAGGTTCGCAGCGCGCCACCACGGTCCCAGCACCATTGCTGCCGTTACGATCAGTGGAAGTCGATGGTATTGGGTTCTAAAAATCAAACATTTAGTCAAAATGTATTACTTTTTACTGGTGTATGTCCACCGTGAGTCTCTCGTTATTTCCTTTCTACTCTCCTTTATATTATTCTTTATACTCTTCTCGGTAAACTACTAGTTTAATACTGAGCTTGTTACTATTTGGTATATTTATATTATGTAGTATTAGGACACTCACGGAGTAGAGATCAGAGATAGTTGGCGCGATCGTGTCACCGAATCCCTCGAGGAAGTAGGTGACCATATTGCCCTTGCCCTTGACGTCGACGTTGCCGCGGCAGCGCAGCCGATAGCCGCGAGTAGACAGTATATCGTAAACTTCTTGAGTTACCTACGATCCCAAAATAGCGATTTGCCACAAAAAAACACAACAAATTATTTTATGTATGATTCATCAAATCAAATGCCAAGCTGAGCCGGTTGTTTTGTGGCTCAGAGTGAGAAGAGACCATGGCAACAACAGACCAAGCTTCAGTTATATAAAGTACATTCGTTATGTCTTATTAGACGATCACACAAAACTAGTTGATAAAATAAGCAAATGTGGCAACATTTCGATAGATGCGCTTAGCACAAAAAAGTACACGTGACGTCACTACGTATTCGCAATATTGCCTGCGCACGCAAAGACCACACGCTCAGCATACTTTAACAAAGTATAGGTAAATTAATAAGATGAAGAAAATTAAATAACGGATTTCAAAGCAACATAAAATAACAAAAAAAAACATCAAAACTTTAGTTGGTAACTAGTAGAGATTTTGAGGACGAATCTTACCTGGATGTGATCTGGTATTCCGGTGGAGTCCATACGAGAAGCGACGTTGACCGCATTGCCCCAGATGTCATACTGCGGTTTGCGCGCTCCGATCACTCCAGCCACTACGGCCCCGATGTTGATTCCTGTTCAACAAGAAACATTTACTGAGTCACGTTGTCGGTCCCACTTATGCCTAACTTGATCAAGGTCTTCCATATTAAAGTCAAGACAACAGTAAAAGCACATATTTTACTACATTTGCAATTCGCACTGGCTTATAGAATTCGCGTAGCTGTAATGTTTCCATGCCTATTCAGCTTGTGGAATCTTACCTATCCGGATGCGGAAGTTGTTGAAGGAATGTTCGTTGACGTACTGTAGCTGGTCACGGAGACGCAGCGCGTAGTCAGCCATTGCAGTCACGTGCCGGTAGCCGACCAGGTCGCGGGTGGCAGCAGTCAGACCTGGTCAATCAATACGCAATTTTATGGTGACAGTTCAAGGTGAAACTGCACTTAATAAAATTCAAGATTAAGATTGCAAAGGTTGCAGTTTTTTAAACGTGATAACTACTATAAAATGTTATTAAACTTAATCACCTGAAGCTGCCATGTAAGTAGCGCCGGTGCTCTTGATCTTCTCAATATATCTGAACCGTTCCTCAGCCAGGATCTCGTCAAAGTCCGCGATGATCTCATTCAGCAGACGGAGACATTCCACTCCCTCGTTGTTGCCTTCGAGCTCCACGTAGAATTCAGAAAAGTTCGGGATCGAAGCGAACATGACGCATACCGACTCGCATTGCTCGTGGTAAAGTTCCTAACAAAATAAAATAAATAATAATAACATATTTATTAAACGGACTTTATCCATTCAAATTCATTATACATTTTCTACATCATATGTACATATGATCTCCGTGTAATATCTAACCCTTACATCGATGTTCTTGTCACTGCAGAGGAAGTGTTGGGCGACATGCTCGGGCAAGATATTTGCTAACAACTTGCGGTTGTACGCCTCCAGGTGTTCCATGTCTTCCTTTTCCTCTGTAACAAGGCCGACGTTTTTTTTATGTGATTTACGTAGTAACTACATTGATAATTAGTGATAGTAAATTGCGAGATGCAAACATCTTTTGAAATGCCACTTTTTGATTTCTATTAAGAGTTTAAAAACGAGAACAAACGAGCCGGTGATTGGCAACGCGTTACGTAAAAACCACTAGTCTTAAATTACCAGTAGCTTGAAGTTTCCAGATGAAGTCGAGGCGGTAGGTGCTTTCGGTTTGCTGGGAGTGCAGCAGGAGAGCGATGGCGGCTCCGATAGCTGTCACGATGTTTATCCATTGCTGGTTCCAGTCGACGTCGCATTTGTTTCTACAACGTTAATCATAGTTGCATTATTACAGTATAAAAGAGTTTCACAGATCCGTTGAATATGGTAGCAATGTCGTACTGGTAATTGAGGTATGTGCCGTCGAAGTAGACATGTTGGTGCACGGTGACGGCGACGTAAGTGAAGCTGGTGACCACCAGGAGGATGGTCTTCACCATGGTTATCAAAATCTGGTGCACGGCGCAAACGAACATCACTATCAGGGTCAACTGTAGGTAGTACTAGAGAAACAGGAAAAAACATTATAAAACGCATTTTAATTTTTTATGATTTTTACGAGTAGAAGAAAACAAAACAACGAATTCATTGATAGAACTGACTTTAGAAGTTAGGATGATGTATTTTCGGAAAGTTTACAGGTAATTTCTAAGGCGATTTTCATATTCCCGAAGCTAAAAAGAAAATGTGAATTTTGTAAAGGTGGTAAAAATTATTCACCTCGTTTAGATCATGGGTGCAGTAAACTTCACGCCCTGAGTGCAGGTGCTGGTTGTGGCGCATGCTCGCGTCCATTGCCTGAAAATAAACATGGCAATGGTCATATAATTATAAAGTTTTATTGGCCACAGGAGATTTTTGTTGGAGGTATGTATCATATAAACGTTTACATTGTGACGGCCTTAGCTAAAACGGCTAAACCGAATTTAAAGTGTAAGCTGCATTCTTCCTCAGAATGTCTTATGTATATAATCGGGAATGAACATGCATATATTCAATTATTTACTAATGAAGTGTTCCTTTTCGCCATGCAATTTGGATTATGTTACATTAAATAAAGAAGAGTTCTGTAGATATGTCAAATTAAAGAGACAAAGATAACTTACCATAACAATTTGAATCTGCATGACAAAGGTGCTGACCATCAGGAAGGATATCAGCTGGGCTAGAGTGCGGTTGGTGTGGATGCGGCGCGACGCCTCTCTGGTCCGGGGACTGGTGCACTGTAACATACACATAAATGCTGGAATCGTGAGACCTTTGTATATTATATTATGTTTTAGGATTAATTGAAAACCGGCCCTTCGGTGTACACCGCAGCACATGTCTATTGAATTCTTTCTTTTGAATCAACGAATTTCTTTCTTTCTTTCTTCTATTAAGAAATTCGAAGGCCTACATTTTCATCTATAAAGTATTGTGTCCAATACATTTACACAATTAATTAAGAAAAAATTGTTATTAACTTTATCATTGTGGAATAAAAAATAATGACCACACATCTAATGTAAGATCATATAAGTATTATACATTATCTGTTTCTTTTTCTCTTCTAATTAGAAAGAACCCTTTACAAGAACTTACTTGTAAATCAATGCAGAGGATGAGATACGTGCAGCAGGCAATGATGATGCTGCCAGTGACGACTGTCGTAACGACGATCGGAGTGCTGTTTATTTGTAAACATTTAATTAATTAAAAAATCAATAAAAGAATACTTAGATTAAAAAGGGTTTGACAGTATTAGGGATTACTTACAAGCCGAAGATGAAAAGTTGTATGACGACAATAGCGACGTAGATGACGACGGAGCACATGAAATAAAGCTTGAGCATTCGGTCGGGTTCGTTGGTGTACTGCAAGAAAATTTATAACGTTGTTGTATAAACAATCATTGACAGCGTCTTGAAATTGAGTTGATTTTCTCATTCAATATTTAATAGGAGTCAATTTGAGAATGTACAATTTACCAATTTTATGAATTCATTGGCTCATCAGGGTAAAGTGAAAGGTGGGCTGTAAGAGAAACGCCCATAACGCATCTGCAATATCTCCAGTATTACTAGTATATGTAGTCCACGGGCCTTTAATTACTTACTAGTAATACGCGAATTGCTTTGCAACCTATTCCTGTTTACAGTAATAAGAAGTCTCTCTTAGATTTACAATGAACTATAAATTGAAGGATTAATAGTGAAGTAGTGGTTTTCACCGGGATGTGTGCATGAAAAGTGGTTAGGATCTGGTTTGCATGTGCAAGCGTTTACCTTGCATTCAAGTTTATGGTCGCGGAAGATGAGGGTGAACGGCTGGCAGTGCTCGGCGCGCAGACGGTCGATGGATCGCGCGTCGATCGCTTTCATCAGGTACTCGTTCACTTCGTCCTCGGGTTTCTTGTTTTCATTGTTTGTGTCAACTCTATGAGAGAACGTTAAATTAAAGGGTTAAAATTATTTTTATTAAGCACCTTATAGATTTATTTATTTATTCAACAAATCAATCAATAGAGACTTTATGTTACTACGTCTTGATATTGCTCGGGTAAGACTGATTACAAGTTGACTATCTTAATGTTTATGTTGGATGAAATTACACAAGTAGTTCGACAATTCATTAAGATTGTTTGATAGTTGAATTCTAACATGCGTGTAAACATTTTATGATATAATTTATGTAGTTTTAGTAAAGAAATAGATTAACTAGTATCACAGACTAACAAAAGTGTTTTCAGTTTAATATCGTTCCGTCCTGTTCCGCATGATTGCGAAGACGTCGAAACTTATTGCTGGGAAATGTCGTCAACATTTTCACGGTATTTGAACGTGGAATCTTAAAACTACAATATCGGGTCTTGGTAACATTTCTCCGGAATGTTTTCCTCTCCTCGCTTGTCTCCACCGAAAAGAAAGATATTAGAAATGGCCGCAAGGGAAGGGTCTTAACTTAATTGAAATTGAAAAGTTGTGAGCTCCGTGCACTCTGACCGAGGCCGCTGTCTTAAAAAATAAAAACAGAACCAAGGAGGAACTGTTTGAACAAACGAAAAGTAAATTAATTTCCAGTTGACTTTATAACTTCCTCATTCTTTACTTATATATTCTTATCTGTTACCTCAAACATAAAAAAAAACACGTTTTTATTACAGTAACTCACCTACTTAGTCCTAACTCGACATACTTTGATGACGTTGAATTTTCACCTCAAAACAATATAAAGCGAAATGAGTAAAATTAATTTTATTGAGTTAAATAATGATTACCTTAATTATAGCCGTATAGTGAAGTAAATTAGATTTTACTTCAGCCATTTCTAAACGATCGAATCATTTACACGTAAACATAACGACTCAAGACGAATTGTTTCACCCAAGTTAAATGTTACGCTTCTTTAGGTAATAAAGACAAACGAACCGTTGTCCTGGAGCGAATGAATAGGATTTGTTTCGCGAATAAATTATTTGTTACTAGCTAAAGCTCCCGTCTCTGCCTATTTAAAAAAAAACAGACTCTTAGTTTTTAAGTTCAAATAAAATTTCTTTCATAAAAATATAGGAAAACAGTTAGTGTTTTATTAGTAGTTAGTGCTGAAATTCAGATGCATTTGTAGTTATTTTTATCAACTTGCAGTTAAATTATTTATTATAGTTTTTAAAGTTTGCTTACCATAGCCCTTATAAGGCGAAAGGTTTTTAAATGTATACCTGATAAAACGAAAAACAAGGAAAGCTTGAAAGATTGTCTTTCATGGTAATTCTTTGTTAACATTATTACAAAATACTAACTTGGATGAATGCTTTCCATGTTGGGAGCCATGCCCCATGACACGCATTTCCTTCGATACGTTGCCGTTGACGGCCGCCGAGTGCGCTGGCTTTGTGTCCTATACATAAGGACAAGAATTTGTTCACAGCAAGAATTTCATTAAAATAATTAATCAAATGCCTATATTCTGAAATAAAATAAATCTTTTTTGTTCATGTAATGAATTTTCATTCCGAATTCTGAGAAGTAAAGGGTTTATCAAAACTTTATTGCCAGGATTTGCTTTTTCTCAAATCATAAAAGGCGTTGATACAGCTGTCGAGTATTCCATAACTTCAGCAAGTTCTTAATTCATGTGTATTTTTAAATAAATGTATAAACCAATTTTATACATTTTTTTTTCATCGGACCAATCGTTCAGGATTAGCTGCGGCTCAAATGGCCCACAGAAGATATGCTTGGATATAGGTATTTCTGCTGACACGTGTGCGTGCTGATGGTTAATTTTAGTTCAATGCGACACTTAGATACGAGATGGCCGCATGCCATGCTTGTACTACAAAAAAGCTTACCACACGGCTTGTATCGTCAGGCACGATGAGGAAAGTCTGGATGTTGTGGTCCTTGAGGTAGGCGTTCCGCTGGTCACCGTGGCCCGGCTCCACGCGGTAGTCATCGCCGAGGCACTGCAGGGTCTCGCGAGTGATATGCACGCGTCTGTACATGTATTGAATATGTAACTAGTTTTTAAAATACACCAATACGTGACTTACGACTTTACATCTAAACGGTAAACCTCTGGCCATGTTGTATAATTTTGAAATGATGATCAATTTCAAACGTCACTTCATGATATACAAATGTTATCTTACCCCGCGACGCCACCGCTCTCCATGTAGTTGGCGAGGGTGACATCGTTGGACCAGACGTCGAACTGCCACTTGCGGAGTCCCAGCACGACGCAGTGCACGCGGCCCGTGTGGATCCCCACGCGCATGTTTACGTTCACACCAGTTACCTCGCGAACCAGACTGTATGTACCACAAAAGTGCACGCTTTAGTAACGTATCATAAAAATTTACCTTAATAAATCTAGAAAACGGGATTTGTTTAGGACTCCAATGCGAATACTTCTGTCAACAAAAGCACTACTATTTAATAAATGTGGTTACAGCGAACTTCAGTCCGCTTTCTTTCATTATGGATTCATTAAAACAATAAAAAATAGATTTGACGGATGCTAAATTTACCCCGTTAAAAAGTAATCAGCGGAACAAAGGTAACCTATGTGCATTATAACATTTAATAATGTTTTCATTGTTAACACGATCCAATCAAGCACTACAAAGGACTTTGTTTGTCGTGTTCGTTATAAAGTAAAAATGCCATTTAAAACCTCTTTTCAAACCTGCATTTCATATTTGGTAGTATGCACAGCAAGTCAGAAAAAGTTTGCATGGATTTAATTAAAGTTTGTTTTGAATTTCAAACAATTTCTGGCACAGTTTTTCGCACTATTGGATGTTGTTAGAGTCCGTGGGGCAGAGGACATTGAAGAATATTATTCGAGAACAGCCTTGCATTTACGCAGGCTTTTATCGTTTCGGAATATAATTACCTTAACAAAGGACTGCATTACTCGGTGTTTCAGTAAAATTCACGTACAGTTTCAGTAAAATCTTTGTTAACTAAGCTGAGACAGCTTACTATTATTTAACTTTTAAATATTACAACTTTAACAATATTCCTAAAGGCATGCTCCATCAATCCTTAGATATGAGTTCTAAAGTTTTATAAATAAACTTTTACTCGTATCACTCCGATCGTTCCCAACTTCTCTACATTTCGATATTGATAAATAGTCGTAGCTCTATTTAAAGCGTACCTTCTAAATAAAAATTAACATATCTAATAGATTTTCTTTCCGAATAAGAATAAAGCAACTTTGCACTTAAGATTTGACATTTAACTTTTTATTTCTATTTTGAAGTATTAAATATAAATTATTTATGAATTCCAGAAACCATTTAATATAACGTAACATGATGATTTAATTCTTGAATACGGAAATTGAGGAAAAATAAGTATTGTAGTTATAATACCTTATGTATGAGGACTAATATATGAAAGAACGAAGGCTGTATGAATGGATTATTTGAAAGAACATACGTGTAAGAAGCCAGTGAATTCATATCTGAGGTAGGATGATGGTAAGACCTAACCTCCGTAGGAAAAAGGACTGGAGAAAACAAAGGAATGGTAAAGCGACTTACGCAATGGCATCAATCATGTCGAGGCCCATTTCGACGCAGCATTTGGCGTGGTCGTCGCGCGCCTCGGGCAGGCCCGACACGCAGTAGTAGCAGTCGCCGAGGAGCTTGATTCTTAGGCAATGGTGTTCAGCAGCCAAGCGGTCAAAACTGCGTAGACAAATAATATTACTAACATAATAAAAAGGCAAGTATGTTATTTACTGCCAAGTAACACCAGAAGTACGAAACACGTCGAATATAATTTGGAGATGGTCATATTTATTTCATTTCAAGTAGACGAAGTGACAAGCGACAGCTAGTTGTTTATAAATACTTATTCCTTTGAGATTTTGTTGGACAATAATTTGGATAATGTGAGATGTTCACTGAGTCGTATCAAGATGCTTAAGGAGCTTGGTTGAAAATATTTAGTTTTTTAATACTAGAGGCGATCATTTATTAATCTGTTTTAAATCGATGAATCAGTTTTACTTGTTCATAAAATTACAAGGGTAAATAAGAATAATAAAATTAAGAAATAACCACTAATGAATTCCATTATGGCTGTAATCAGTTTTTCTAATGTAATAAGGTGGTTCGACATCAGCTAAACTACGCTCTAAAGTTAAATAAGCTTTCACTAACATCAAATGTTACACCGTGCTCAGAATATTGCGGTGGTTTTGGTCGTTAACTTTCAATACTGGATCTAAAATTTTGAAAGTTGCTCAACTGAGGTAGTATAATTATTAATATTAGAATCTTGCTTACAATTATTACATTACATTCAAGTCATGTGTAGATAATTGAAATACTAAAATATTTATTTCTTAATTTCCTACGATGGTAGCAAGAATTTTTTTTTATGATAATGGGACTAATGATGGCGGGAGCAACGATGCGATCATCGGCCATCATTTGCAACACATGAGGAACTGGAGAATCAGATAAAGTTAAATTACTTTAAAGGAATGCATACATTTTTTTAATAGGGGTCGTTACGTGAAGAGAGGGAGAGAGAGTATTGTTAGAAGGGTAGAAAGAAGCTAACATCATTTTTAAAGCCATTTCAATTACAACATTACGAGCTTTGTGTTATAAAACGCTTTGTTTTATAGGTAATGCGTACTGTAACGAGTTTTATAGATTTATTAACGCCGTGAATAAATAATGAGATGAGCTATTCCGTGGGGAGGGGAACTCTCACAGCCACCTTTATAAATTGTCGGCGTGTAGACGGGTGGACTCTTGTTACTTTCCCTTTTAAATGTAAAAAATATTATTACCTGTAATTTTCGCTTTTTCATCAGTGAAAAAGCGTCGAGTGTGAAGATAGAGTTTTATTTAGGCTATTTTTGATTCTGCTTAAAATTTTCGTTCATTTACAATTTTAAAATGATTTGTAAATAAATATACAATGACTTTTAAATACTAACACAAAAACTTGAACGAATTTATACTATAGTTAGAAAATATATATTCTTTATTAAACGTGAAAATACTGTTTATATTGATCGCAGCGTGTTCTGATATCGATAAATAAAGAGAATTGAAAAGGTTGCCTTAACGAAAGGGCACAATACCATGGATAAACAAGTCGGAAGGTAAATTAATTGAAATCTTACTACAATAAGAAAGATGATTTAAAGGACTATTCATCCGTAACGACGGTGTCCTTCAAGACGGTCTCCCGAATATGTTTTTATATTTTATCTTCAATTTTTATTATTCCTTAAAAGTAGGAATAAATAGGAGGCCGCACCAATCGCTAGTTCATATAAATATAGAAATCACTGTATTTGCAACGTTTGCGCTTTCTAATTCTGAAGCATAATTCTGAACAGATTTTGGATGAATCTCCAAATGCATCTAGCACGGCGTGGAGAAAAATCAGAACAACTATTGCCTTCTGCAAATTTTTAATCTGTAAATAATATCAAATATCATGCTAATAGTTAGGGAAAATCATACATAGTTTTTTGTGGCACTGAAAGAGATGTAAGAGCGACTAAGTCACAAGGGAGTCAAATAGAAAAATAACGTACTACTGCGTAATTTAATCATTCGACCCGACCTTTCAAAATTCCCTTTTATTCTCTTGTGGCATATCTACCAATTACATAAGCATATGTAAGTATTATCATTGGGGTATGAATATGAATTTCAATAAATTGGAAAGCAAAAATATTTTAGATCCACAACTCTTGGGAATGGACGTAAATAAAATGTTAAAAGAAAAATAAACAAAAAACGATAAGAAGTTAAAATTCTTTAAAAAATCCAGTGACATCAAGAAATACCTATCGCCTTGAATTGATTAGATTCAATCATTTGCCTTTAAATATTTGTAGACACGATGTTATAATATAATCTTTTATATAATAATAAAATAATCGCATTCCAATATGGCATAAATATTTCTAACCTCTGTGTACCCGTATTCTATTTATTTCCCTTCACCTTTTTTCTTCCACATACATATTTATTTGGTTTATACCGTTTTTATCCGTTCTTTGCTTAGGTTTGAATCTTATTTACATTCATCCCTTCTTCTTTACTGTGACACTATTAGTAGTGCTGTTGTTTGCTAACAAATTGCTTTTCGAGTGTATCCCTCTACCTATTGTACCACCCAATTTAACTATACTTTTAAAATGAACCATCAATGGGATTATCGAAGTTTTAAAAACTCACTCTCTGGCTCTTACTTGAACATTAATGGAAATTCTTTTTTATAAACAGCATATTTTCTTACTTCCATATTAAATATTTAAAAACTACACATTGTAACTTACGTCTATTGATTTGTCCCCTTTGTTGCTATTTGTACTTTACTATTAAAAGTAATGTAAAATTTTATTACATTAAAAGTAGCGTCGGTGTCTTTATCCCTTTGCATTTTACGGCGCCATATATCTCGACCTAACCTTATTTAAACACAAGGTTCACCCTTCTTATCTAGTGGTTATTTATTTACATGTACAAAATCTCGCAGATCCCCACACAAAGTACAGTATTAAACCTGGGACCACTACTAACTGAAGACATTTTACACCCCTGACATTTTTGTCGTCAGAGACTTTGTCGTTCCGTTTATTCTTACATTCTTTACAATATTATTCTTAAGGATGTATTAACCAAAACATCTATAATAAAATATTAAATCATGTGAGTTCTATAATCTATATCTGTACTAATATTATAAATAGGTAAGATTGTATTTATGTAGTAGTACTTGATAGTATATATCTAGCTTTAACGGTTTTCTTACAATAACCACTTTTTCGTTTACAACATTAATTAAACACCGCATGCTATATGCGCCGTAGTTTTATTAGTTTCAATATTTATTTTTTATTCAAATTAAAGCGTTTGTTGTCAGGAGAATTTAATATAGAATAAAGTTGTTCTTTATAGTATTTAAATTAGACTAATAGTTTAGAAGATATCGCCTATACAAACAATAAGGGTAACCGAAAAATCAGCTCACAAACAACCGGGCTTAGAAATTTGGAATCTTGCATCAGTAGATTTCTGTTATTACGTAGATTACTACTAAGTTGATGTGATTTTGAATTCTTAATCTCCAGGCGGACGACGTCGTGGGGAACAGCTAGTCGTTAAATATATTACAAAGTAGATGTAAAGAAGCAACAAGGGTTCTCTTTTCCCGTACGTATTGATTGCTAATCTTTATCTGTACATATTTATAGAACATACTCGAATAAATTATGTTGATTATAACTGAGTTACGAATGTTATTATAAATTTTATTGATTTATAGCGTCCACTAAAAGATTAATAACATGTATTTTGTAAACAAAAGATATGGAAAATAGACTTAATCAGTACACACAGTGGTTAAACAAGAGTAGTACAAGTGTGTTTATAATTGTAAAAGTTTTAATTTTAAAAACCATTTTGGTATTTGATGAAATATGTCTTTATATTTACACCACATCGGACATAATTTCAACAAGTATAAGCATTAATGTTATCTTTTGGAAAATACAAACGTATTTTCTAATTTTAGAGATGTAACTTGAATAGTATATTTATTAAAAGTAAGCACTGACCGGGCGAAGAGCTCGTTAAGCAGACGCACCAACTCCTCAGCGGTGCACTGGTCCGATAGCGAGGTGAAGCCGCAGATGTCGGCGAACAAGATGCTGCAAAATTACATCAAATTATTGTTGGTTCTGGAAATATTCTGTATACTATAATATCTTACTAACATAATTTAAACTTATAAAAATAAAAATTAAACATGATAATAGAAATAAAATCAGTAAAAAACATCAAGATGATGTTTACGAATTGTAAAAAAAAAATGACTATTATAGCTAGTCAGATATTATGCAGGGACAAATTCAAGGTACAGTCGCGGAATACCGCGGTGTGCCACTTAAGGTCTAAGTAGTACTAAGTATCGTGTCTCAAAAGATCGAGACTGATGATGACGATAAAAATCATGTTGATGATGATGTCCTGGATCTCGATGATATCAACACTAAACACCGATCTAATGTTTATTTTCTTATATTACAAGGTGGCAAACGAGCAAGCAGCCTCCTGAATCTGGCAAAATGGCTGAGTGACCGATGCCTATAAATTTTCGCAATAGCGGATGCGTTGCCTACCCTTAATCGACGGAGGTTGCAACGCACATTCCCAAGTTCACTTTCATATCCCATCCTTTCCTTATAAGAAAAAGGGCGGGAGTGAAAAAGGACTAAAGTTGGGCCTGGTTCGATATGGGATGTCTTCATAACAATCAACAAACACCAAAACGTATGAAGTATATTTAGCACGAATTGCATGTTTTACGATAGTAAGAAATTCTAGAAATGCCAAGTAACCATAACATTGAAGTTGTTTTGTCTGGCTTTATTTTCTAGAAAGTGAAAAGACAACAACAGTTATAATTGGAGTTATAATTAATGGGTTTAAAAATAACTGCAAGTAAACAATGTTGATGGGCAAAGTAACGAAGCTGCATTGTTGTGTTTATAAACAATGTTTTAGCAATAACATTTTGTTGTTATCAACATGTGTCGACTATCAGTGGAATTAATAAGGCATGGATAATTTCAGCTTTGGCGACTACGCTATAACATATTAATAAAATAAAATCATAAATTATCTTAAATGACCAACATTTACATCAATGACATTTTTTTAAATTTTTTCGAAAAATATTCTTATTATTGTAGCTGTACAGGGTGATTGTTAACGGACGGACCAACGGTTTTGAACAGGACGAGGACCTCAATCGTTTTAAGGCAACGTATGTATGCCCTATTTTTTATAGTTTTAGTGTTATTTAATTTTTTGTAAAAAATCGCAAAAATCGGATTTCCGACTAAAACTTGCCCGTACGTCCAAAATGTGTTTACAGAGATCATTTTTTTCTTTAACAAGGCTAATAATTGGGCCAAATAAAAAAAAATGTAAATTTTCTCACACAATTTTAATTTTTTTTAATTTTTTCTTTTTTATTATTATCGTGCAAAAAACATTCACCTGAATATTAAAATAAAATTAAAATATTACACTTAAATCGTATGAACCTTTAAAAAATTAAAAAGATTTATTGTTGCAGTTATAACAACCACACTAAAATAACAAAACTTCAACAGTTAACAATGATTGACTCATATTTCTAAAATGCCTATACGAATGTTGTCGAATCCTTCTCATTGTTGCTGGGAGGACGAGACATTACGACAGTACACAAGATAGAAAGAGATGGATAATAGATTGTTAACATCACAGTCGTTTTTCAGGCGAACGACTTTTCGTATCGCTGCTAGTTGGACGTGCACGTACTCGTAGTTTAACGTGCTTCATATTGCTCTGTCGTATCAATTCTAGCGGAAAATGAAGCGAAGATATTATATATTTCTGTATAATTTCCGTTTGTAAGTTAAAGTGAAGCGTTCTCTGGGACGGAACGCAATATCGGCGGCGCTTAAACTGTTTCGCGCACTGATAACGAACGAGCTGTGAGACGAGTCACGCTTCGGCGAACAATCGCGCGCTTACTGCTGACTGCCGACTGACGACAATATTTTGAAGCTTTCACGCGCCACAAGTATTAGATTAATAACTACAGCCACCACTGTTTGATACTCTCGGCATTAAAGGTAACATGTAATTTAAATTAATTAATTTATTCTGACTCGTAGTTACTTTAAAAGTTTGTGCACGATCAAGCTAGACCAGATTTCCGTTTAAAAAAATACTATACTTTCTGACGGAATTACATAATCATGTTTATTTGTAGGTCGATAGATTACTATAATTAGTGCTAATGTTTTTACTTTCAAATTGCACCAATAGCAATATATAATTTTTAAACTTTTAATTGAGCAATGAAATAGTTTTTTGTATTGAAAGTACAGTTGTAAAAATAAGACAGCAATAAATATCAATTTCAGATAAAACACAGTTGGAAAATTGGCCAGAACCGGCTGCTATATTTCCCGAGCAGTATCTTCACTCGCCATATAACTCGGATCACTGAGTTCGAAATAAATCTTGTTAGCGATATTTCACAAAACGTTTTAGAAGGAATGCAACTTGCACGTATTGAATTTTGCAGATAGTTTTCATTTTATTGAAATATATTTTCTGTAGCATAATTCCTTCTGATACTATTTGTGCTAAAAATAAACAAGATATTATTATTTATTCGTGTGAACTAACCTGACATTCTCATAGCGTTGTATATAGATCTTATGGAATTGTTCCTGCCTGGGTTGGCTGGCGATGTCCGCCTTCATTTCCATTGCAACGTGTCGCGGCAGCACCGACAGCAAAAGACGTTCCTGCATCAAGAACATTAATTACAATACAATCGAAATTTAGGTTTAACCCACGAAAATCCTCTTAATCTTGTGTGCGTTCGTAAAGTGATGTCACCAAATATTTCTTTGTTTTAATAATTTAAAACATCATTCATGTATTTTAAAATTATAATTTTAAAAATAAATATAGCATTGATAATTCTAGATCTTCTAATTTACAGTGATAAATTATATTTCTTGTACATAGAGATAGTTGTATCATTACATAATATTGACAACAAAGCTCGTTATTTCTTTGACATTGTCTAAAGGTTGTCTTTATGTGCCTAAGGATTTTAAAAATATCCTTAAACATTTTACACAAAACTTTTTTATTTTAAAATATATTTGAAAAAGAAAAATGATAGAGTTAAATCATTTATCAGACTATTCCAGCTTTTTTTTTTTACCGTAGTCTAGTGAATTTTAACGAAATTATACAAATTCACTGAACTACGAGACCGGTATTCTAATGACTAGGTTTTTAATTTAATATTTAGTTATTAACATTTAAAACGTAGTTGAAGTACGTTGCAAAGACTGTCGACGACTTTAATTATAAGCTAGGCAACTCACTTCATATGGAAATCATAAAAACGTTTATTTTATGCATTAAATTTTGATATTAAAAAGAATGTTTTTCTGTGCAAATGTCTTTAAATACATACTGCAGATATATTTATATATATAGTAACTACGATGATTTATCACTTTTCATTCTATTTATTCTATTTACGGATGCATTATGTAATTAATGTGACCTTAGCGATATGAAATGTATATAAATAGGTAACCGATTGTTGTTACATATTTTAATTGACATAAGCAGGAATATTTGAAAAATCGGCTTTATAAAAAATATTTACATATGTAAAAAAATTATTTACTTTGACAAAATATAAAAAAAAAACGGTGGTTAAAGCATACAGCTCAATATTTTTGCTGTCCATAGGCAAATGGAATTCAAAATGGTAGCACAAAGATATTGACGGAATACCAAGACAAAACGAGAAGCCAAACCGTCACGAGCACTCACGTTCGTTATGGGCTTCGATAAAAAATGCCGTTTACAATTGAAATAACAGAACAAGGTTATGAAAAGAAAACAAGTCAGAATTAAACAGAATGGAAGGTTCGGAATTCTGCTACGACAATTTTACTTGTCTAGTAATTATTAATACTTCAACTTAAAACTTTGTAGTTATCCTTTGAGGAAATTGCGAGACAAAACGAAAAGAACTAATTACGTTTATTCATGACTAGTATGAAACAATTACGACTCTGTTAAAATAGAATAGAAAGTATAATTTGACATGAACTGATTGAACAAAGGTATAATATACCGTTTTTGGGTGATGTTAATTCCGGCGTGCGGATTCTGGATTAGCTATGCATATCACGGGATGAGGGATACGTGATGTGTGATAATGACGCTACTTTGCTCATTGTAATGAACACCTACGAACCCGATTTTGTTATTAAAAAAACAAGTAATTTATCCACATTTTTTTATACGGGAAGGGGGCAAACGAGCGACGAGAACACCGAGTTGGTCAATGACATCTATGGACATCCGCAACACCAGAGGAACTACAGATGCGTTGCGGGCCTTTGAGGAAATTGTAGGCTCGCTTCTTGAAGGACCCTAAGACGTATTGGTTTGGAAATACCATTATTAAATTTATGATAAATTAAACTTTTTATTTATGAAGAGAAGGGCATTTACAGCCGTCTACATATCCTATCATATAATATTCTGTTTCATTTATATTAAAACTAAATAACACACTAGTATGAGTACGCAAAAATTTATGTTAAAGTAAATGCTAAAAGACTGAAAATTATGTTTATTTCGAGCATCCACTTGATTTTAAGGTTTTTAAAAAAATTAGGAATCGTTATTTTTTACAAGGAATCGTTCCACAAACTTATAGTAGACAATAAAAGACTAGGAAATTCTCATAGTAATTAATCTAGATGGACAAAGTCGCGGGAAACTGGTTACTGCTGTAAATGGGATTTCACATAATTACATTGCGCCGGCAAATAATTGTCGAGGTGCACGTTGATTTTCTCGTTGTTACGTGTTGGTTACTGGACACTGTTGGTTCGTATATCGCTACAGCGGCATTGTTTTTCTCTTATTTTTATCAACAAGCGAATTGAACGTAGCTGTCTTGTCTCCTTTTACAATCGCCTTTGATTCTATTTAAATTCTAGGAGCTAAATCAAACTGAATTAAAGTAATCGGAACTGTAAATGGAAAACTTAGTTTAATGTTTGACTTTAAAGTTGTCATACAACTTGTTAAGACAGAGATATGTTTGAAGTTACGGGGACGAGCCTGTTGCTAATTATTACTTGTCTATATTAAATTGGTTCTGTGTGTGTTTATAATGATACTGTATTAATTAATTACATTAATTTCATGTCGGAAATTAAAGTAATTTAAATAACTTATTAACTTAAGTAGAACTTAGACATGAAATAAGAAAATTACATCATACTGAGTAAATATTATTCGATCAAATACGAGTCCTAGTTGCAAATAAAAATGTTAAAATTAGTTACACTTAGTGTAGAATTAGTATGATAAATCTACACTAAGGGTCTCGATTTAGTGATGTAAGACTGAGTAGGAGTGTGAGTAGTTAGGTACCAATCCTTACCTGTTGTTGGTTTTCGCGTTGTGTGACTAGACGGGCCTCCACACAGTCGCGGGTCTCAAGGAACGCCCGGCGCTGGGCCAGCTCTCGCGGGTAGTGTGTCAAGATGCCGGCAAAGTTGCTGATCATAAACGCGACCAGGTTGCAAAAGATCTAAATCAAAACAGTGCTATTAATGTACCTATACATGTTACATTTGTAAAATAACCTCCAATTACCCATAGGCTAATATGTAAGGGTAGAAATATACTACGTCCTACGATAAAAGCCACGATAATTTGAAGTTAGTGACACACGGTTAGTTTCTTTTTATTATTATACCGTTGTTTGCACCACTCACTACTATCTTATTAGTTATTTGTAGGAATAGACGGAGATTGTCTCGTTGCAATGAACGAGGCAATTTTTCCTGAAGTGAATCTTATCACTCAGTATGAAATTATTGAAATAACAAGACTAATAAAACATGCTTCTCATTAATTAGTTACTTTTGGCTATTTATTAAAAATGTGTAATTATATGAATGGCCGAATTTGTAAATGTACCTGTGCGTAAGTTGCCTTGCCAAGTATAAGGTGCGCAATGATGTTGATGGCAGCCAGACAGAATCCACTGACGGCCGCTTCGTGCAGGCGCACCGGCAGCGTAGCGTATGTCAAGTAGATGAAGAGAGCGCAAGGGCCGCAGCCCACGCTCAGTGATCTTTCACAAAACATGTTAAGTTAATAAAGTTAAAAATAAATATTCTTAAACTTATTCATTTGGATAATAACTTTAGGATAGCGCTCTGAAGACGCCAAACCGTTAAAAGAAAAATAAAACTGTTTTTCTGTTTATTTTTGCTTATATTAACTTCATTTTGTTTCAGACTTTTCATTTTGGTAGCACAATTTGCAACGTTCGTCAAGTTAATTTAGATCTAATAAAGCACTAGATTTTTCTTTTTCTCTTATTAACTAAACCATAAGGAATTATGTGGAAAATAAGGTTAGAGACAACTAAATATGTAAAAATAAAACATTACTTTACTATATTTTATCGTTAAAAAGAAAATGTCAAGAAGCGTATTTTGAAATCACGGTAACTCGAATTATATAATTTTATATTTTGATCTCACATATTTATTTCAATTATATTACATTTCAGTAACACAGTTATGAAATTTTATCTTTAATCTTTCGAAAACAAACACGCAGGGTGAGAGTTCGTATAAAATACAGAATAATGTAATTGAGTACAATTAAATTAAATGCAATGAGATAACAAATTGAGATATTAAATAACAATAAAGAGTAAAGTTGTCAAAGCAAGTGTTTATAGATGAAAGTTTGCGAAAACGCTAGTAACCGTATACAACAGGGGAATTAACAAATACAACTTTGGCTTGCGGCGAGCATTGTTTGAAGTTAGAGTAGTTAGTTATCGCAAACTAGCTTTAGTAAGACAATATTTTTTAAACAAATTTATTGTCAGTTTAAAGATAGTTCTAAAGACGTTCCGTTGCAATCTGTATTGTGTGCTATAAAAATCGTCAAATTCTGCTGTTACAAATAGGGGCTAATAAATTGTGAGAAAAGTAGAAAGGTAACTGATGATTTATTTTAAAATTAATGGTCAATACTCACCTATAAACCAGGGTCCCGGTAAGTGCCAGTTCGATCAGAAAGAAGGTCCCCAAAACGACATAGGATATGGTGAGCAGATATATCTCGTTCATCGCCGGCCGGCTAAGGCAAGCGATGAGACCTGGCAATCAAAAAACTATTAATTTACCAAATTCGTACATTCCGGTCATAACATTTAATTTTAAACAAAAAGAATAACACTGTCTTATACCATATTTGCTTTCTACCTTTAGGTAATTCCATGCATCAAATTGTATTTAAATCTATAGAATTTCTTATTCTGATAAAACCTAAAGTTCGTGAAGTGTTTGAGTTAATTCTTTGTGGTGTGTTTTATAATGAGTAAATTAGTGCTTAATCTGGACCTGACGTTAAATGGTGGTCTAAAGATTGTACGCTTTAGTTTAATAGGTAATCATTAATACAATAATAATTAGGTACTTACAGCCATATATGAGTGAGGCAATCGCCAGCATGATGACGCTGATAATGTGGGCGAGGCGGTCACGGGTGTAGTAGAGATCTTCAACAGTAGGGTACAGCTCTGTCACTGGGTATTTTCTGTAAAAAAATATACGTCACAACAATGTAATTGAAATACAATATTTCATTGATGATGAAAAAATATTGAAAATTTCTTACTTGTATGGTTCAACGGTATAAATCATGGTAGAGTTTGGTGGCGGCAGGATGTCTTTGAAGTAAGAGTGAGCAGTGAGCAGGGATTGTATCTGCACAATCATGAGCGCCATGGTCACTGTCAGTAGCAACCCAAGCAGGTGCGTCATGTTGGTCTGGTTCATGCGCAGGAAGTAGCGTTGGTACAGCATCTCCACCTAAAGATAAAAAAATCAGTTCAGAAATCATACTAACTATATAATATAGTACATACATATTGTATAAAGAGTATAATCTGCAAGGGATGACATAAAAATTATAACTATGATAATTTACATGGTGGACCAGTTTGACTTTTAAGTCGAGAAATACAACTTGAGGTGACTGCATAATTAGGTTGATTGATGGTATTACTGAAAACTTATGTAAAAAATTTACAGTGCTTAAACAGCTTAAATGTCGTGTCAATAATAAAAAAGCGGATATGTTGAATAAGATGTTAAATAATAAAATGTTGATATGTAGTAACTATAATTTAAAAACTATATCTACTAAGTATTAGCATATAAAAATGTAAAATTACGTTAATTCAATTCAGCGTGTCAAAGACGTTGGGTGTCCGAGCGCTTGAGTAGAAGTAAGGCGAGTCATGAGGCATACCACATTTATACTTTCATTGTCCGCAGGTTGTACTAGCCAATTATATGTATATTTTTAGTGAGTGATAACGTCGTACCCTAGTGCGTAGTAAACACAAACTATATCCATATGTGCTTGTTTACATTTTAAAACTCGCACGCGCAGGTGCGATCACAAAACTTTAGACATAATGTAGTAGACTGTTAACATTGAACACGTAACTGCGAGCGAGGTAATGAAAGTCGCGCTTTTCGCGCTATCGAAAATTTCAAACATATGAGGTTAACACTCCCATGTTTATATATTACTTATTTTATGATACATGATAGTTAAGGAAGGGATTAGGGGGTAAGATTTTAGTAGCTTGAACTTGCCAAAAGGTGACATGCCAGCTACTACTCCATTTTACTGGCATACATATTTCCACCCAAATGCTATGCTTTTTATATGAAAATTGAAATCAGAAAAGTTTTTTAAAGTATTCCTGTCTGCAGTCGCGCAAAAGCACTGAGAAATGAAAAAAGCTTTACACTTTTATGGTTTCCTCATGTAAAGGATTTTCATGTCACGTGGGCGAACGAGTCGTAAACTGAGAAAAATTTCAATGAACAATTTTGCAACCGTCTAAAGTTTGTCATGTTACAATGCAAACTTAGTAGTTTAAATGAAAGCTATAAATCTGTATCGTGAGAAATTTTCCACGTTGTTCTATTTTAACTATACCGAACGTTATAGTTATAATTTATGTAAACATATTAAATTATAATGTACGATTGTAAGGGTAAAAAGGGTACTACGCTTTAGGAGTAAGTCACGGTTTCGTTGTTCCCCGGTCAATCTCACTAATGCTACAAAGTGATAAATGCGAAAGTTTAGAAAGATAATAGTTTTAAGCATATAAATCAAAGACTAAAAGGATCTGGACGATATTTTGCACAGAGATAGATAACTGTTTGGAATAGCGCATTGGCTAGTTATCCTTTATTGTTTATTTCCGCGTGCAAGAATTTGCGAAGAAAATCTAGTGGAAAGTTTGATAGAGGTTGCATAAAATTCTAAATATAAAAAGATAAGCAAATGCAAGCAGACCATATTAACTAGGCAAGTAACGAGGGGCTAAGGAAGTGACGACTTAAATGCGTTCAAAGCTCAGAGATCTTAATTAAGAGAAGTAGGCCAAGGCTAAGCTACATTGTGAAAATGTTTTATTTAGTTACATTTTATTTTTCTTACATAGAGTTTTGAAAGTTACACAACATTTGTTTAGGATGTAATGAAATACATATAATTAATAATTAAGATTAGAGAGCGTAAGATTCATTATTTATGAGTATTGTGGTTTAATTGTTTGCACAATAATAAAGAAATAAGAAATGAATTATTGATCGTTTACATTGTTGAAAAGTATGAAAGCGTCATAGACATTGTTAGCATAAAAGATGTCGTGCCCCGTCGTACTTTACAGTTTTATTGCATCAAAGTGTCTAGGGAGAGATGGAGGACCCATTAAAGGGCTAAGTAGCAAAAAACGACGCTTTATTGATTTAATTGCTTATTTCTTAGTTGCTCATTTTTATTAAGAACAACAAAAAATACCTAAATGTATTTCATGATGTAATACGAACTAAACTAAAAAATTTGCTTTTCTGTAAAGTCGCCTTACAGACTATAACGTACTCGTAAGATTATAGCCTAAGAAGCCTCTATATCGTTTGTTCTGCGCTCACCCTTGCACTCTCGGCTCAGGCGGAACATGACAGTGCAAAGAATGACTGTTTTATATGACGCCACTTCACAAGTATTGTAATTTTTTTTATCATTTCAATGCATTATATGAGTTTTCACTGATACTTGTTTTTTTCCGATATTTTTATGTGAATAAAACTTTCGATAATAATACACTCGTTTTTAACTAATTACATTTTCGAATACATTATTTAAATGAAAGAATGTTTCTTTGTAAGAAAGTTTTGAAATACTGTAAATAGAGTATTTCAAATCTCTTTGTAACATTCATTTATAGAAGGTATCTAAAAATTAAATTAGTTAATAATTGATGTATTATTATCGAAAGTACACTTGTACCTTTAAACAAATTTCATCCTGAATATTTCAACAAAATGTTTCGCAAATAGATTGAGCGGGCGAGCCGGCTGCATCGCTCACTTCTAATTTGCAGTTTATGCTTCACTAAGCGGATTAATTACTGCTACCTGCTATACTCGTAGTAACAAATATCGCAAGGTGTAATTCTAACTATGAGCCTTGACTGTCGAAACCAGTAAAAAATCACATTTACATCCTTTAATTTTCTCTAAAGCAGACCGAAACAAGTATCAACTGCCAAGGCAGTAGTATAGGAATATGTTGCAACGTTGTCACTGTCAGACATGTTATGAGATCTTATGGCTCAGCGTCCTTGACTTGTAATTTGCAGACCTCGATACGTACTATGTGTTTTTCGTTTTTGAATTAAAGTAGGTTTTGGTATCCAACTTTTAGTGGTTATTTTAGTAACTACCATATTTTTTGTCGTGGTTGTTCACAAATTAAAATGCCAACTATTTAAAAATTAAAACTACTGTTCGAAGCAAACTCTTGAATTTAACTTCTTTGTTCCTAAATAAAGTAAACGATTTTATAATTACTGAAGCATGTTGAAACAAGGAGAAAGATTTCGGCTGTATTTATGACGTAACTGTACTCTCTAGGGACCCGTTTCGAATATACCAACGCGCCTGCCTCGTGTTGAATTAAATTATTGTGTGGTAAAAATTCATCCTTACTTTTAAGGATTTGCTTAAAATTGTGTGTGTTAAATATATGGACTTACACTTTATACATTTTTTTTTCCAAAATCTTATACATACAAACTGACTGATATATCAACGCACATTCGAAACAACTGGGTATAGAGACTTGAAATTTTATTGAATTTGATATAACGAAACTCATAGAAATTTAAAAATTGAAATTGCTTACAATAAGGTGGTATGTTATAATAGGTTAAATTGGACTACGATTCGTTTTAACAAGTTAAAAGAAACTTTTCTACTAACCCCAACTTTACGTAGATCCTCTGCTTACCTTGTTAAAGCGAATAATGCTAAAGCTCGTTTCTAGTAAAAATTCTCTCACAAAAAATTGCGAGAACACACTTTCAGTGATAAGATACCACTTATTGGAAAATTGTTTATAATCATTATTATGATTTATTGCTTCTGTGCCCCTTCAGTTTATCAGAAATCGCAACTTTTAAAAGTAACAACAATTGCGAACGGTAGAGTTTACTGCGCAGCGCATTTTACACAATAATAATCATACAAAGTATTTATCGTGTCTGAACATGTCGAAACATGAATAAATGTAAACAATAAAGTTGTAATTATTGATTGTATATGTTAGACAAAGCTAATAGGGTTGAAAAAGAGATCAATACTTTTAGTATGGGTTACTAAGCCCAGACTAAAATTGTTATTAATTGAGTTAAAAGTATAACGATGTGTGTTTACAGTAACTAGATTACAGTAATATTATTAATTTTAAGTTTTAAACAAAAACAAATGTTACATGACCCAAAAATCACGCGTCTGATAGATGTAGAACATAGTCTGAAATAAAAAAAAGTAACAGATAGTTCCTACATTGGTATTGCCTGCTCTGTCTCATTTACATCACAACCCTTAGACTTTAGTTAAATGTCATAGTGTTAAGAAAAGCGGCTCATGTGCGGCTCCAATAGAATTGATTGCATTTAGTCATTACAGCCGAGAATACGGTCAAGGCTTGAATCCTTTGAAGATAAATCTGTGATAATCTGTGGCGATGCCCGGCGACGCCTGGCGACGCGCACACGTCCATCTTAATGCCAGCTCAATTAGCGATGCCAAGTAAATGTTACGAATTTAAGTCGGTCCCCGGCACGCCCTTAAGGCCACGAGCAAACCTTTCAATCGATTTTAGTCGTAATATACGTAGGTAGCAAGAGATAACTACATTAGGTGTCCGCAATATGTCTATTGAAAGGTAAATTATAAATATTTGATGTTCTTATAACATTTATATGTTAAAAAATGGATACACAAGTGTGTGTACGTATGTTATTGTTAACATAAAATCTTGTCATCCCTTTTATTGTGTTTGATAACAATATATTTTGACAGGTATCTCGGCCGTGGAAACCGACGCTTGGATTAGGATCTATACTAATTAGCAAGAACATATAATGATACCAATATCTTATGATCTCATTACACAAGTTTGTGTCATAATTTAGTTGAGTTTCTAATCACGTACTACACGATTTTACGTCCCACAAAACTCTAACTTTATGTTTATCAGCGAAGGTCTTATAGCGTGTAGGCTTAACAACATTTAGACAAGTATCAAATTGAGCGATTCCTGAGCGAAGATTCCTCCTTTGAAGTTTGAGTGTCCTTTTTATATTTTACAAAGAGTAGCATATTAATATTAATTACGTTTCTCTCGAAGTGGTTTTTATATTCGGTGAAAACTCGGCTATCAAATCGCGATTGTCAGTTGTTACATTGAGATTAAATCCATGAATTTAATTCCGTTT